TCTGTACACGTGGGCTGGCCTTCGGGCCATGCTCAGGCCCCATTTCTCTTATTGCTTCCGGAATACATGTATTCAACCTCACTTATGCCTTCTACTACCCCATTTGGAGCCTCGGGACGCTACAACGATCTCTTCCCTTTTTGCCTTCCATTGTCTAATGAGAAATTAAAAATCGCTATTAGTGGAACGCAGGATGGGACTGCTTAATGCGTAGACTTGTTCATCTTAAAAGGCCTAGCATTAACGCTACAGCGAAGTACAGTAATGCATAAAATCTTTTGCTAATAGTACAACCATCTTGGAGTGCCTGAAAATACACTACTTTGCAAAATAAGTAAAGTGGGAATTTTCGTACAGGTTTGTTTTGTTTGTTTGTTTTGTGAAAATTTTTTATGTAGACAGCTAAAGGTCATGTTGGGCCGATTATTAGCCCGTTGGTTCATGACTCGTCAGCGTGTGCTGTTATGCGTACGTCTCTCAGATAACGTTGTTTGTCAAAAGTGGAGCCAACTTTCAGCTGATTTAGGACATATGTAGATTCTCAAATCTTTCTAGGAAGATCTTCTTTCTACTCTGTTGTCGTGTGGCTCCTTTTTTTTGTAAATACGTTTAGGTAGTATATCCGGGGTCATCGTGATTACATTTAAGCATTTGTCCAACTTTTCGTGCAATACATGAATGGGAAATTTTATTTTTCGGCAGTTGGCGACTCACTGGTGGAAACGGTAAAGCTCCAGACCCTTAGTCGTCATGAGGAACGTGTTTGGTGCGTTTCATGGAATAATGCTGGTACAATTCTGGCGTCATGTGGCGAGGACAAATCCGTTCGTCTCTGGGTTACTGAAGGTTATTTAGACATTGTATTTTAGTCTGCCCTTTTTCTTCATGACAGAACTTGCTGCTGGCGACTTTTGTATTTTATTTTCTGTTAACACTGGGATCCATGCTAGGAAAATATTTGCTTACTGCATCTCTCCTCCTCGTTTCTGAAGGCCCCACATGGATATGCGCCTTTTCCTCAACCTTTGATCACGTTCGCACTGTTCGACACGTGTCATGGGCTCCAAACGACAGGTACTTAGCTGCCGCAAGTTTTGATTCAACCGTCTCTATATGCCGCGTTGAGGTGACAGACGGTGTAATTGACCTGCTCTCAATCGCCGTCCTGGAGGGTAGGTCAATCTGATGTCAGCTGGAAATTTTATGTGGTTTTGTATTAGCAGGTTCTTTGGGAATCTGCTCTAACCCCCTCCCCTCTGTGGGGATGCGAACTCATGTTTATCTTTATGATATCCAAGTTGCTCAATTTATCGTATTTGGTGGCACATAAAGCCCATTTCCTGGTGTTCTAAAGGATCTTGAACGATTTTGTGCGTTGAGAAGACGTTTATTTGAATAGCCTTTAGATAAGGCTGGCTAAGGTCTCTTGGTTGCGTGCATGGATTTTGAATGGAAGGTCTAGTGTCACTTAGAGCAGGTCAGATGCCTGTTGAGCTTGCCCTAATTTTTGGGCTTTGTGGTCTATGCTTATTTCAACTTGAGTATACTCTTCGTGATCTGCATGAAGCTCCACCGTTCATTGTTGAATAAAAACTTCCCGGTGCTCGTTGGGGAACGGTATTAATCTGCACTTCTAGAAAGACAAGGCAGTGGTAGAGAGGGTTAGAATGGCGACAGGGTGGTATGTGTCGCCCGTCGCATAATGGAAACCCTCAAGGATTAGATCCTGATGTGCCTTAAAGAGCTAAGGTGAGGATCTCTCCTCTAACTGTTTATGAAGGGGAAAATGCACTTTGTAACTAAGTGATTGTATCGTGTTTAGTCAAGGCAAGCGATTTACTAAGCATTCACATTATCCGGTATTATCATTTCTAAGATAGCATTTGATTTTATGGTTTTTACTATGCCATCAATAACAATCTGAGAATCCAGTTTTTGTCCTACATTTTAATGCAGCTTCCTTTCATTCTCTTCCTTTATTCTGGTGAGTAGCTTTGCGGCAAATTTTTCGCATTTATACACCATTCACTTTCAAGAGTGGTTTTTTGCCACCTTTGGTGGGTCCAAGGTCATACCAGCGAGGTCAAATGTGTAGCCTGGTCCCCCTCCGGTTACCTCCTTTCCACGTGTGGCCGCGATAAAAGCGTGTGGATCTGGGAATTTGACGACGAAGAGGACTTCCAATGCGTCAGTGTCCTTCAGCCTCACACCGGTGACGTCAAATACGTCTTTTGGCATCCCATAAAAGAGGTTTGCTAGTTGATTCATTCGGTGCTTAGGATTTCTGCGATTAAGTGATGCAGTAGTTCTCCAAGTCATACTCAAAGATTTCGTATAAATAGTCTTTACAAAATTTTTGGCGGGACTGTAGTATCGGAATCCCAAGTCATTGACAAGTTTGAATTGGCTCAAACAGGTTCGACTTGTGGGATTTGCCCAATTGTTAAATGGATTATTATTACAGCAAGTTTTCATTTGGCTGAAAAGACAGTTACCGCGTCATCTTTACTCTTCTCCCACCCTCACTTTCTACCAGATACTGGGTTCCGCGAGCTACGACAACACAATCAATTTGTACAAAGAAGAACTTGACGACTGGGCAGTTGCTTGTAAATTAGGTGAGTTGGTCGGAGTTTCCGTTTGAGCGATGCCAGAATCGCATTTGTTAGCTTATCGTCCCTTTCCTCTTGCAGTTGGTCACGAGTCCACCGTTTGGAAGGCAGAGTTCTCACCAAACGGCCATATTTTAGCCTCCGTAAGTGAGGATACAACCATCAAACTTTGGCATGAATTACGTAAGTTTCCTCATTTCCATTCCATTCTTTAGCATCAGAAACGTCCTTACACTGGGTGTGTTTCAAAACCCTAGCTGGTTATCACACTGCCCCTGTATTCGGTCTGACGTGGTAGGTTTAGCAACGCAAACCAGATAAGCTGACCTCTAAATTTAGGACTCCTTGTGGTCATTACTTAGCTACATGCGGCGGTGATGACTCTGTCTTTGTGTTTCGAATAAACCTTGCTTCAGGCAACCTCGTGGGTGAGACTTCAACTGAGGATGTTGTAGTCTGGCAGCACCTGTCCAAAGTACATGGATGTGACGTAAATTGTGTATCATGGAGGCCGAAAATCTGCATGTCACAAGGCCCTGATCGTAGGGCATGGTGTCTTCTCGCCACAGCTGGTGACGATCGGCAGGTGAATTTGTGGAAATTCCTCCTGGATTCTGAATCTGCTGATCTTGCGCTTCGTACCCAACCTGAGAATGATGAGTTTGATGTGGATTAAGTGTCTGACTTCTACTTTACCATGATAACGTTTCGTTTTTTTACACTTCGAGTTCGCACGGGGGAAGTGAGGGTTCTTGAAGCTCGTCGGGGGGTTTAACCTACGAGGGGGTCTTTTAGTCTTGTACCCAGTCTCATCTCTTATGATTCATCAGGCCTCCTTTAGACAGTTCTGGTCTTCCTCGGGGCGGTGTTGGGTACTCTGCTACCGTCTTTTAGGCGTCAGATTTGAGATCGCTCGGATGGCCCAAGGAGACCCACTAATGGGGTCTTAAGAAGCCGGCAGTCGCTCGATAAAAATTATTAAGCTTTGAAAATTGCAGTAGATTTGTTATTATGCGCTCTAAAATAAAAAATCGTCTTAGAAAACTTTTAATTGTTTTAATTGAGTGTTCACTCTCAGTTAATTTGAAGCTGATGTAACGCTTGCGATGGGTGAATGCCGAACTTGCGATGAGAATCCTTGCTTGTGTGGGAAAGACGAGTGTCTTTCCACTGATGATAATGTACTTTGTCACATTTTCTTCAAATTATCTATGCATGATTTGTATTCTATTAGCACATCAAGGTTTCCTGCTTGTTTGTTTTCTCCATTAGAATTTTTGGTTCTTTTGCGTCTAAGTTGTGGCCTGTTTTATTGTTACCATGCTTTCATTTGATCATTTTCTTTAATAATTTAGGCTTGTGTTGGCCTGAAACGCTCGTCAGTTGATCAGGTGGAAGCAGTTGCACAAAAGAAGTTGCGGATTGATGTGGTCGCGGAGCAAACGCACTACATTGAAGCATTTAGTCAGTGGAATGAGGATGATCAAGTTGAGCTTTTCTTTCTCCTTTTAGCTCGTATATCGCAAACGCAGCGGTCCCGAATAACTAGTCGGATCCGTCTTTTGGCATCTCACCAAAGAGGTTCGCTTTTGTTTCGATCCAGTGCTTAAAAGGCGTTTTAAAGGGTTGTACAGTCAGCTTAGCATCATATGCAGTTAATTCAAACACCTTTGTACATCAGCTCTTTTGGGACTTCTAATTTTGAAGCTAGCTATGTTTCTTACTAGTCGGGAAGAATTGGAGGGGTATTAAACAACGCAGTCTGATTGTCTTAGTTGTAGCTTTTGAGATGCCTTTTAGCATCTCTAACAGATGCGCTAGACGTATGGAAGGGCTGAGATTAGTCTCAGCGGTGTGATCAATTTGAAGGGCAATGATGTGTGAACTTTCTTAGTATGGGCGCGGACATGAGTGGGGAGAGGGGTATAGTGAGCGGTTATAGGGAAGATTCGACCAATGGCCTTGGTGATGGGGGCGCGGTAATATTCTGCTGTAGTTAGAGTCTCATCAGTGTTGGTGTCCCATCCTAGGAGTTCTTTGTTACTGCATACAAAGGTGGTAGTGTAAGCGTCATGAGGCGGGCTTCATTCTCATTCACAGAAACTTCCTGCGATGGGAGGTGGGAGCCTTCTTGATATCATCTTAGTTGCGGTTAGAAGATATTTGTTCGTTCTCAGAGTGGTTGAGACTACTCACAACGGCGATCTGCTGGAAAGTCCGGCAGACTAGTGTAGCACGTATACTCGGGTGATGTTCTCAGCTTACTGCTGTGTTTACCCTTAGTTACAAGGTTCTGTATTCCGGTCCTATTTCGCATCTTAGCCGGAGGGTTTCTCCACCCGCCTCATGCAATCACATATCCTTACTCGGTTGTATCAGGGAAATAGATGCTGCATGTTTAGGTCGCTCTGCAACCTCAATTCGTTTCGTTTTTGGTATCAGTCAGGTTTGGTTTTGATGTCCCTTTGCTGGGTGATTGATCCCATCTTGCTTCTGCCAAGTGAATTTCCTTCGGGATAGGCCATGGTCGCACCTCAACCACATGTTGTGCCTTCTTTTACAAATTGGAAATCCTCGAGACACTTTCGTGATGAAATTGGCGTGTTGTTCAAAGGTTGTGTAGTAGTTTCAGGTTGGGATACTTATGCATTGGGACGGTACGCAAATGGTTGTTTTCCCAATTAGCATTATTTGTGTAAACCAAGGTAGTAGTTTGCCGCCGAAACTGAGTCGACGACAGACGTGTATTATCTTCCCAATGCTTCGTACACGTGTCAGAGGCAAAAAATATAATTTAAACCAATCAGTAAGAAACAGGTACATTCGAAAATACCTATGTGACACAGTAGGAAATTGCAGGGAGGGTTTTGTATCTATTTTTGGCCGCAGCAAGGCTCTGGTTTATATCGAGACTTATCTTGCCAGTTTGCAAGAGATCATAAAAATATGCGATAAAGGATCAAACAAATTAAGCAATTGCTGTAGGAACTGCCTGCCTAACCTCATGCCCTTGAGCCAAGGACTTCAAGGGAGGGCCAGTTGTAGGCTGTGGGGTTGGAGTTCAGGTGGACCGAATAGAAGATGTCAAGCTGAGGGACTCCTTACGGTTCTCGTACACGTGATTCGAGTTCCAATTCGGTTCACGCCTCCCTCCTATAAGGGCCCGCTTAAACAATCCAGCATACTACAATTGAAACAAAGTCTACCTTTGATTTGTTGGCGCATCAATCGATTTTACTGTCAGTGTCGGTAGCATTGTGGTAACGATAAAAGCTTTGAAAAGAGTAATCGAACAACACCATTGCTCTGACATCATCTACCATTTCGCTGGTCATTGGTGTAAGAGCCGCCTGCCTATTCTCTGGCCTTTAAATCTCAGACTTCAAGAGAGTATTAGTTGCAGATGATTTGTTTGGCATTTGCTACAGGAAGAATTTGGATTGGAATGCTGATTAGCCAAATAGGAGATATCAACTGGAGAGAGACTCCTCATTATCTTCGCGGACGTGATTCGCGTTCCCAATTGGTCCTCGCCTCTCTCCTATAAAAGTCCACTTAAAAAACTACTATGTATTATAACCGGTACAATTTCAATGTACTAAGGATCAGCGTTTGGTAGGGGTAGATCTCAAGTTGGACCGAACATGTAAAAAATTCAAGGCGAAGGGAAGAGAATGAGCTTTCGCTTGTCCCGAAGGTCAGCCAATGTGCACAAGAGTAAGGTGACTACTAAAACTATCACCACTAGTGCCTCTCATTGGGCAGAAGAAGACCTTAGTTTGGGAAGTCTTAAAATTCTACAATGGCGACAACGGAAAGCAACTCCGACTTTCCTGCAACGCATATCCTCGCGATATAGCTGCGGCGCGGGAAAGGAGCATATACTGCAAGGGGGTGGGATTCTTTTCATTTCTCACAGCGCAAGTATTGTCAAACATGTACGCGTTCGCCTCCACCTTGTTCCACTGTTTCTCAGACAAGTTATTAACAGATGAATTGACATCATTTTTAACTATATGGAAGCTATTTGTTTCAGGTTTCCCTTTATTCCATCTACGATTAGAGGTCCGAGATGTCACTATAGAGCATTCAGGTCCCTGGTCTTTGACACAAGCCAAGTAATAACACATTTATCTTTGCCTATGGTAAATACCTTCCGTTCAACCTATGCTTGCTCATATCAAACAGGAAGTCTTGGCGCGTATCAGTATGCGTAATTGCTTTTGTCTAGGGAAATTTCTGATGGCTTAAGCACTTCTCTGTAATGCATGATAGCAGTATTTATAGTCACTAAAGTTCGTTCATTTTAAAATTGCTAAAGTCCCTTCTAAAGTGTGCATGGATGGAAAGATGGGAAGTATACCACCACAACATCATTTCCTGCACAGCAATTTTGCATAGGCTGCATCGTGCAAGACAATCGCACTGTACTATTATTTTAATTATTATATTTGCACGGGATTAGGGTTATTTTGCACATTGTGAGTTTTGACGTATGACCTACGTTCGTTTTAATTAGTATTTGTGATAGCGGCGTATTGACTGTGTTAACTTGCGCGTTAGCTCGTTGCAGTGAAAACCGTTGAACAGGCAAGCAGTTATTAATCAGTAGCTTATATAACTTTTGCAAAATTATGTAAAATTAGCTAAATTAATGCAAGTAATTATTTTGTTTCGCAAATTTAGGCAATTTTTGACTTTAGTTTTAAAAAATAATAACCTGATTATTTCATAAAGGCTTTTGTAGTTTTTTTATTTTTGCAGAAATAATATTTGCTAATTTTAAGTTTTTAAAATTATTTTAATTTTTTGCTTTTATATGTGTGTAGCTCATGGACCAGCAGTTATCCTGGGATAGTCAGCTTCAGACTAACTCTGGAAGTTTGTCAAATTCAATGATGTTCACGAGTGACCATCAGCACACACTTTTGGATACTGGTTCATTTCCCTGGCCTCAGGATGATCAGGTTACTTGGAGCGCTTTGGATACCTGTCCCTCAAAACGGCTTAAGCTAGAGGAACGACTTCAAGGCGTAATCGAAAAAACGGATGACACCACTCTCCAACCGTTTTACCTGACTTCCTGCTTTCAGCCTTCAGGAGATCCAAATAAGGATATTAGTGGATTTTCGTACCTTCCCCAGTCTTACCTGTGTAAGGACTCTCTGAATTTTTTGAACTTTTGGCTTAATGTCGGATGATTTCGAAATTGGGTAAATTATTTACTTCATATTTTTCATTTTAAAAATTAACCGAAATGACTGGTGACAAAATTGGAAGAACAATGATGAATGCGCATTTTAACCTTGTAGTGACTGAATAAATACATATCTTTAGATGGAGTATCTGATGAAATGTAGTTTGCTATTGCTAAAGTCGGAATGCAAAATACGAAACAGTGCCTCCTTATCCAATAACATTAAAAATAATCTTATCCGAAACGGATCGATGAGTGGCAAAGGCTCTTACCACTACCACTTCTACTGCTGAAACTGCCACATCTGTTCATATTTCTGGATAAAAAAACAAACGTACCTACCCTTGTTCACAGCGCTCATTTACTCACTCACACATACAAGGAGTTACTAAGAGACAGTAGGAGTGCTGTTTTAAAGATTAGTGATGCCTTAATGCTTTTGTAGATTTCAAAGGTCAGAAGGGCTCAGGATGTACAGC